AATAAAATTGTCTACAATCTGCTGCGTGTACAACTCAACTCAATTCATCGTATTTGCATCAACTCAATTCAACTTAACGCTACGACATCTCGCGTTACATAGCTGGCAATAGTGGTCTCCGACATCACCCTCTCAAACGAACCCGAACAATATTCGCTACACCCACCAGGCGGTAATAACACCTCAGAAATCCACCACGAAGTTTAGGGTAGTATTTGACACATCAGCAAAAACGAACAAAGGCCCATCATTAAATAAATATCTCTATAAGGGTCCAGTAATGATGCCATCATTAATAGGAATTCTATTACGGACCAGGCAAAAACGTTACTTGGTGATAGCCGACGTAGAGAAAGTATTTTTGCAAGTGAGCCTAAAACAGGAAGACAGAGATGTCACTAGGTTTTTATGGCTGAAAGATAAGACGAAGGGAGCGACTCAAAAAAACCTAGCTACTTACCGGTTCACGCGAGTTCCCTTCGGCGTGGTGTCATCACCCTTTCTGCTGGCCGCTGTCATTAGACATCTACTGAATGAAGAAAGCGTTGAATTATCAGCAGAAGTAGCAAAGAATCTCTGTATTGATAATGTTGTATTAACCGCAGAAAGTGAGTTAGAAAGTAACAGAAAGGCGCAGGAAGCAAAAGATCTTTTTAAGAAAGCCAAGATGCACTTGAGAGAATTCCATGCGAACTATGACATTGAGGTGAACAGTGAGCAAGAAATAACAAAGACCGCTACCAAACTGTTGGGAATCGAATGGAATAATATTAAAGATGAGTTTATTTGGAGCTGGAAAATCCCAGAAGGCCTTCAGGCCAAACGCCAGGAGCAGGAACGTATTACTCGTGAAAAACACGAACTCCTGAGAGTGGAAGAATTACTGAGATGCAAAGGCGAGAAGCGCTAATGCGCGAAGCAGAACGAATTAAAGAATAAAATCGGGAGGTTCGTCGAAAAGAAGAAAGAGCAGCTGAAATCATAGCTGAGGTGCAGCGGAAAGCAGAACGAGAAATGCAACGACGGCTTAATGAACGTCTAGAAAAAGAACGTTTAGAGAATTTACATCATGAGCAGGAGCGATTAGCTAGAGAGAAACAAGAAGCGGAAATAAAGGAACTTCAGCGTCAGGAGGAGAAGCGACGTGAAAGGGATCGTGAGCGTGCAGAGCGTGAATGTGCTAGTCGTACGTAAGCAGGCTGAGAAAGAACGCCTAGAACGCGAACGTCTGGAACGTGAAAGAATAGAAACTGAGCGGCTAAAAATTGAACGGATTAAACGTGAGCGTCAGGAACGGAAACGAGCTAGTGAGAACAGTAGGACACCTCTATCCTTTTAGAGGTTTCTGACCGAGGATAAGAAGGTCCAGATAAATCACTCTGCTCGAGAGTGTCACTGAAATCGCGAAGAGAAGCAGTGAATCAATAATTATTTCGATACTGCTGGTATAATGTATTCTATGTATAGATATACTGTGCAATGTAAAGTAATATTGTGCATCCAGTGTTTTATGTTCTATAATAATAATTCTTGTGACCTCAGAAGTGACCTCAGCATTGACCTCAAAATTATCCAAGGAATCGCCCAATTTGAGGAAGAAGAAAGTCCTGAGCGCCAAATCATTTTCGAAAAACGTGAACAGGTTGGTTGGGAAGACGATAACGGGCGTCATTTGGTCTTTGGTCCCTTCTTTGTTCATATTGTAATTGTTGAATTCGTTTCTGTAATAATCAATTCATATTAATAAAGGTTTAATTACCCAAGTTTGAGGTACTACCAACTAAAGAGGCAGAAAGGACCTTCAATTTTTGTATAGGTACTATGGACGTACGCAAAGATCCAGACATTTTTGTTGGGTTTTGGGATGTTCAAATTGACTTACCGCAAATCCACACTTCGCCGATTGAGTTTCTTGGTTCGTAGCATCATAAAGTGAAAATTTTTCTTGTATTCTTACAGTATCCTGCTTAATGTGACATAGAATTGCAAATTTCTCTTTACTTTTATCTCAAACTTCGGTAATTAAACCATTAGATAAAAGAAACAATATTAACGTTGCATAATCATTGTGAATTACAAAACACAAATTAACGTGTAATTTCGAAATTTCGAATATCGAATTTCGAATATCGCGAAGCTCCAAATAAAATTATTAAATAAACTAATGTACAAATTAATCACACAAATTGTAACAATGTCATGAATCATTCAACCAATTTTACATTCCTCAAATTCATTGTCTCATGCGTTTTTCTTTGTTATCTTTATCTAAGTTCACATCCTTTTCTTTTTTTTATAAAACAAAGCATACTCATAAGTTAAATTTCTTTATCTATGAGCCGATTTTAATTGCAATGCTTGATGTTGCAAACAGAGCCTTTTGTTGTAATCGAATTTTGACAGTTTTTCTTTATCCAAAGGAAAATCTAATGTAATGTTTGTTATAAGCCATACCCCCTAAATATGCTTAGTGTTAATTAAAATTGTATATATACCCAAGGCTATAACTGGAAGATCATTTTCCTTTTCAAACACTCAACCAAGGACTGCACCGTACATTGTATCCTCTACTCTCTTCGATAAATATATTACTACTATCCTCTGCGTAATTACAATCTACTACCTTCTGCGAATAAATAACTTCCTCCTGAACCGAACGAAGAATACATTCTCAGAATATTCGTCTGTGCCTAAGAACAAACCCTTCCAAATCAAACTCTTTTACTTTCAATTTTTCCTACAGCATCAGTTGTATGTCGAGATGGTCTCTACATCTCCTCCTTTACACATATCTCTTATAGAATAGGTAAAAAATTTTACTGTCTTCCTCATTCGCTGCATGCACTTTATTATACCAAAACTTATGACGCATAATAATTTCAAATTTGCGGTGTGCGTGTTACGTGCTAAATTGCATACATTGATTAGTATGGGACATCAAATTTCAGACCGGGCGGTTGGTCAGTGTTGCGAGGATGACGTCAGCTCCCCATGAGGGGAAGGGACATTTAGGGGTGGGGAGACGTGAAGAGGTCAGCTCGGAGAATAACCTTGGTAGGACGTCATCGTTATTCTG